TTTTAGACCTCGGGCCAGTCTAGTAGCAGTAGAGGGAGCTCACTCAGTGCCCCAGTCCCAGAGCCGCACTATTGTGTCACCCCCGGGTGCCCGCCCCCCGTGTACAATCAGCCCCCAAAAGAGCCAAGCGTTGGGCACTCCTCCACCATGGCAGCTCAGGGCAACCTCACAAGTGGACACCTGAACCAGCTATACCCGGCTTCAACAGCAAGAGGAACACAAACCGCCCCTGATCCCCAGCCCAGAGGATGACCCCTGGCCTGAGTGCCCCCCCCCCCATGGCCCGGACTGGACCCCGGATAGATTGGAAGAAGCACAAGCAAGGTAAGGAGAATATTTCCAGAACAATGTGGACTGAGCCGGCACAAGGCTTGGTGGTCCCATCCGTGACTCATTGCTGGGCTCACACAATCTCCTCTCCCCATCCATCCCTCTGGGATTCACTGCTCTGCTTCACTACCTGGGGCCTGGGAAAGGCTGCTGCCCATAGCAACCGCTAAAATAAAGCTGCTGCCCATAATAACCACTAAAGTGAAGCTGATGCCCATAGCAACCACTAAAATAAAGCTGCTGCCCACAACAACCACTAAAACAAAGCTGCTGCCCATAGCAACCACTAAAGTGAAGCTGCTGCCCATAGCAACCACTAAAGTGAAGCTGATGCCCATAGCAACCAATAAAATAAAGCTGCTGCCCACAACAACCACTAAAATAAAGCTGCTGCCCACAGCAACCACTAAATTAAAGCTGCTGCCCACAACAACCACTAAAATAAAGCTGCTGCCCACAACAACCACTAAAATAAAGCTGCTGCCCACAACAACCACTAAAATAAAGCTGCTGCCCACAACAACCACTAAAATAAAGCTGCTGCCCACAGCAACCACTAAATTAAAGCTGCTGCCCACAGCAACCACTAAATTAAAGCTGCTGCCCATAGCAACCACTAAAGTGAAGCTTCTGCCCATAGCAACCAGTAAAGTGAAGATTCTGCTCATAGCAACCACTAAAGTGAAGCTGCTACTCATAGCAAGCAACCAATAAAGTGAATCTGCTGCCCATAGCAACTACTAAAGTGAAGAGGCTTCCCATAGCAACCACTAAAGTGAAGAGGCTGCCCATAGCAACCACTAAAGTGAAGCTGTTGCTCATAGCAACCAGTAACGTTAAGCTGCTGCCCATAGCATCAACTACAGTAAAGCTACTGCTCACAGCAGTATGTCCAATTTTCATCTGTCCGTTTACGGATGAAAACCGGACCCCCATGTATTTCTATGGACTTGCAAATGTAAATGGATGAACATCTTTTTACATCCGTTAATATCCGCATCTGTTAACATCCATTTTTTTGAACAGAAGAAAACCCTATTTTTCTTCTGCAAAAAACCCAGAATGGCCGAAAAAAACAGATGTAAACGGATGAAAATGGATCTAAATGGACGGAAAACGGATGTAAACAGATGAAAAAAACAGATGTAAACTCATCCATTTTTTCTTTGAAAAAAATGTGACTGAACTGAAGAAAAAAAACGGAACGCCCGTGTGAAAGAGGTCTTAGTCCTCATATACACGGGGTAAAGTCACGTTAAAAACAATTTTGAAGTAGCATTTAGCGGCGTTTTTACCCCGTTTTTTTTAAACTTTTTTTTGCGTTTACGGTTTTTTAGCATTTTTTAGAGTTTTTTTTTTTACAGGAAAAAATCTTTTCTTTGTCAAAAAAAGGTAAAAAAACACTGGTTTGCCGCGATTTACCCCTCATGCGGTAACACGGGGCGTTTTGATAACGCTGGTAACGTTAGTTATGTAAATTCATATTAAAAACCTGAGTTTTTCACTTTTTTTTTGCGTTTTTACATTAGCGCATAGCGGCATTTTTCCGCATTCGCATTTTTTTATCAATTTTTTTTACCAAAAAAATTTTTTTTTTTGGTCAAACAAAAGTCCAAAAACGCCAGTGTTGTCCAAAAACGACCCTGCATTCACTATATCTGCTCTCCCCGGACCCTGCATTCACTATATCTGCTCTCCCCGGACCCTGCATTCACTATATCTGCTCTCCCCGGACCCCGCATTCACTATATCTGCTCTCCCCGGACCCTGCATTCACTATATCTGCTCTCCCCGGACCCTGCATTCACTATATCTGCTCTCCCCGGACCCTGCATTCACTATATCTGCTCTCCCCGGACCCTGCATTCACTATATCTGCTCTCCCCCGGACCCTGCATTCACTATATCTGCTCTCCCCACACCCTGCATTTACTATATCCGCTCTCCCCGGACCCGCATTCACTATATCTGCTCTCCCCGGACCCTGCATTCACTATATCCGCTCTCCCCGGACCCTGCATTCACTATATCTGCTCTCCCCGGACCCTGCATTTACTATATCCGCTCTCCCCGGATCCTGCATTCACTATATCTGCTCTCCCCGGACCCTGCACTCACTATATCCATTCTCCCCGAACCCTGCATTCACTATATCCGCTCTCCCCGGACCCTGCATTCATTATATTTGGTCTCCCCGGACCCTGCATTCACTATATCCGGTCTCCCCGGACTCCGCATTCACTATATTTGGTCTCCCCAGACCCTGCATTCACTATATCTGGGTCTCCCCCGACCCTGATCCGGTCTCCCCCTCCGCATTCACTATATTTGGTCTCCCCAGACCCTGCATTCACTATATCTGGGTCTCCCCGGACTCTGCATTCACTATATCCGGTCTCCCCACAGACCCTGCATTCACTATATCCCCCGGGTCCGCTCTCCCGGACCCTGCATTCACTATATCCGCTCTCCCCGGACCCTCCCCGGACCCTGCATTCACTATATCCGCTCTCCCCGGACCCTGCATTCCTGCACCCTGCACCCTGCATGTCCTATTCACTATATCACTCTCCCCGGACCCTGCATTCACTATATCCGCTCTCCCCGGACCCTGCATTCACTATATCCGCTCTCTCCCCCGGACCCTGCATTCACTATATCCGCTCTCCCCGGACCCTGCATTCACTATATCCGCTCTCCCCGGACCCTGCATTCACTATATCCGCTCTCCCCGGACCCTGCATTCACTATATCCGCTCTCCCCGGACCCTGCATTCACTATATCCTGCTCTCCCCGGACCCTGCATTCACTATATCCGCTCTCCCCGGACCCTGCATTCACTATATCCGCTCTCCCCGGACCCTGCAATTCACTATATCTCTCCCCGGACCCTGCATTCACTATATCCGCTCTCCCCGGACCCTGCATTCACTATATCCGCTCTCCCGGACCCTGCATTCACTATATCTGGTCTCTCCGGACCCTGCATTCACTATATCCGCTCTCCCCGGACCCTGCATTCACTATATCCGGTCTCCCGGACCCTGCATTCACTATATCTGGTCTCCCCGGACCCTTCATTCACTATATCTGGTCTCCCCGGACCCCGCATTCACTATATCTGCTCTCCCTGGACCCTGCATTCACTATATCCGCTCTCCCCGAACCCGCATTCACTATATCTGGTCTCCCCGGACCCTGCATTCACTATATCCGCTCTCCCCGGACCCTGCATTCACTACTATATCCGCTCTCCCCGGACCCTGCATTCACTATATCTGGTCTCTCCGGACCCTGCATTCACTATATCTGGTCCTCTCTCCGGACCCTGCATTCACTATATCCGCTCTCCCCGGACTCTGAATTCACTATATCCCGCTCTCCTATATCGGACCCTGACCCTGCATTCACTATATCTGGTCTCCCCTGACCCTGCATTCACTATATCTGCTCTCCCCGGACCCTGCATTCACTATATCCGCTCTCCCCGGACCCCGCATTCACTATATCCGCTCTCCTTGGACCCTGCATTCACTATAACCGCTCTCCCCGGACCCTGCATTCACTATATCCGCTCTCCCCAGACCCTGCATTCACTATATCTGGTCTCCCCGGACCCTGCATTCACTATATCCGCTCTCCTCGGACCCTGCATTCACTATATCTGGTCTCCCCGGACCCTGCATTCACTATATCCGCTCTCCTCGGACCCTGCATTCACTATATCTGCTCTCCTTGGACCCTGCATTCACTATAACCACTCTCCCCGGACCCTGCATTCACTATATCCGGTCTCCCCGGACCCTGCATTCACTATATCCAGTCTCCCCGGACCCTGCATTCACTATATCAGGTCTCCCCGGACCCCGCATTCACTATATCCGCTCTCCCCGGACCCTGCATTCACTATATCTGGTCTCCCCGGACCCCGCATTCACTATATCCAGTCTCCCCGGACCCTGCATTCACTATATCTGGTCTCCCCGGACCCTGCATTCACTATATCCGGTCTCCCCGGACCCTGCATTCACTATATCTGGTCTCCCAGGACCCTGCATTCACTATATCTGGTCTCCCAGGACCCTGCATTCACTATATCCGGTCTCCCCGGACCCTGCATTCACTATATCTGGTCTCCCAGGACCCTGCATTCACTATATCTAGTCTCCCACAGTACACAGACATGGAAATGCAATTATTTTAGTAAATATAAACTGCTAAACACCTTTTCTCATCAGCAGTATAGAGCAGTCTTGTGACTTCTATCAGTGTTCAGCCCAGCACGAGCTAAAGCTTGTAGAAGGAATTTTCTTTCTGCTCTAGGAGGATGCAGAACCCCTGACCTCTGTCTGGACAGTGCTGATTGGCCCTAAGCTGATCACATGCGCTCTCCCAAGAAAAATAAAAAACCTTTCTAGCAATTCTCACTAAACTGAGCATGTGCAGAGTGTTTCCACACGATATGTCTTATCAGGAGATAAGAGGGGGGCACTGGAAGAAGGGGAGGATCAGAGAAGACAGGATCAAACAGCCTTTTTGCACAATGCGGTGGATTAACCCCTTAGGTTCCACAGTGAGTATAGCAGTTCTGACAAATCTATTTTTCCGCAGGTGGGGTGAGTGGACCGAGGTTTCGTGGTGCCCTGAAGGATTTATCATAAGGTTCGCCATGCAGGTGGAGGCCCATAAAAAAGGCGGAGATGACACGGCAGCCAACAATTTCATGTTCCTCTGTTCTGACACCACCGTTCATGTGGGGACGGGCACAACCTGGGGCCACTACGGGAAATGGAGCGGGCGCTGCCCCCACGGGATCTGCGGGATGAAGGCCAAAGTGGAACCTCCACAAGGAACCGGAGATGACACGGCCCTAAATGACGCCCAGTTTATATGTTGCAAGGATTAGACTGTGGGAAGCGGGCAGCAGATCAATGTCGGGGGTTCAACACCGCCCTGTAATTGTAGAAACATGATTGTCTTTTTGATTTGAGATCTAACCAATAATCCAAAATAAACAAATGTAAAGCCACTCGATAATTCAGCAGCATCTCTGCTCTTGCGTTCCCAACTCCGCCCATCTGCCAAAACCATTACCAACGTTTGCATGCATCCTATAAAAACGGAACTCCGGACAATTTATTGTAAAATTTTAGTTTCTGTCAATTTTTTTTTATTTCTTTCCCCGTTGGATAGATTTTACCTGACTTCCTGTCCATGTGATACCAGCACAAGAAATGGGGGGACATTTATCAACCAAGACGGTAAGGTACGGTAAGGTACAGTCAGCAATAAAATCTCCCCAATGGGGGCCCAGATGACAATCAGGATCTGACACCCTGTAACCTTTCCCCAAGCAATTCAATAAAATACAAAGTGTTGGGCTTTAACCCTTTCGCTGCCAGAGCCGTTTTTTATATTTTTTTGCACACATTTTTAAAAAATCGTTTTAGGCTTGAAGATTCCACAAACCCCCCAAACATGATATATTTTCCAAAAGCAGACACCCTAGCCACTTGCCCTCCTTAGGATTTACCTCCTTCGTGACCAGGCCATTGTTTGCGTTACGGTGCTGCGTTACTTTACCGGACAATTGCGCGGTCATGCAACGCTGCGCCTAAATGAAATTTACGTCCTTTTTTCCCACAATTGAGCTTTCTTTTGGTGGTATTTGATCACCTGTGCGTTTATTTTTTTTTCCCTTTTAAAAAAAAAAAAGAGACTGCCAATTTTGAGAAAAAAAACTATATTTTTTTGACTTTTTGCTATTAAACATGTCCAGTAAGAAAAATAAAAAAATACAATTTTGTCATAAATGTAGGCAAAATGTATTCTGCGACATGTCTTTGCTAAAAAAAATTCCCAATAAGTGTAATTAATTGGTTTATGTGCAAGTTATAGCGTTTACAAATGGCGGTATATATACTGGGACTCTTTTTTTTTTTTGTACAAGTAATGGCGGCGATCAGCGACTTATAGCGGGACTGCGGCGGGCATGCTGACACTGGGGGGGAATGGACTTGGTGTCACTGACATCTCCAGTGACACCAATACAGGGATCAGTGCTAATTAAAAGCAATGACACTGTACTAATGACACTGGGCAGGAAGGGGTTAACATCTGGGGCGATCAAAGGGTTAACTGTGTGCTGTGTGTGTTTTACTTAGTGTGCTGTGTTTGTGCTTCACTGTAAGCACACTGCTTTGTATTGGTCTACTATGCAGAGCCATACAAAGCAGTGCGCAGGAGCTGACAGGGGAGAGAACTGTATTATTTACATACAGTAGCCCCCCCCCCCCCCCCGTCCATCAGAGATGCTCGGCAACCACAGGGCACCGGCAACTAATCACCGGCCGGGACCTGGTGATTGACAGCCAAGGCTGCGAATGGTGACGCGGGCAGGGTGTGTGCACGCCTCACACGTGTCCCCTATCCAGAGCTGCAAAATCACGTGTATATATGTGATTTGTGCACCCGTGCCACTCTGTAGCAGTACTTCTGCTATAGGGCGGACGGGAAGCGACTAGAGAATAAAATGGTGGTAGTTGCAATTTTTTATACCACACGATATTATTGCAAAGGTCTAAGAAACGCAAAATTTCAGTAAGAATCACACTAAAGTGAATTTTGGGACAAACAAATGCAATAAATTACCCATATTTTAGTAAAATATATAAGATGAGGTTGTGCTGAGTAAGTAGATACCCAACATGCCAAACCTTAAATTTGTGTACGCCCATGAAATGGTGACAAACTTCAGTACCCTATATTTTCTATAGGCGATGCTTTAAAAGCTCCTACAGGTCATCAGATACGGAGGAGGTCTGGTGCCAGAATTATTGCACTCACTCTGGCGTGCGTGGCGTTATGTACCATGTATCGCTATCGACGTTTTCATGCGTAGGCGCCCTGACGTGTGCATTTACGTTCATATGTTTGTATGTGGGGGCGGGGCCCCACATGGAAGAAAAAATATATTTTAAAAATATTCTTCCGGATTATATTGGCATATATTTGAAATACTACAATTTTGGCCATATTCAATATATTTCAAAATATATTTCAAATAAATATATATATATATATATATATATATATATACACTGCATGTTGAAATGCGTTTTTATTACAAAATATATGAAAAATATTTTTAAAAATACATTTTCAAATATGCTGTATGTCTTTAAATATACATTTTAGGAATGCATTACAAATATATGTAAAAATATATGTTAAAATGACTTTTTTTATATATTAAAAAAATGTAAATATATTAAAAAAAAATATATTTTTAAAAGTAATTTTCATATATTTTGTAATATATAAAAAAACGCATTTCAGCATGCAGTATATATATATATATATATATATATATATATATATATATATATATATGTGTGTGTGTATGTATTGAAACATATTGAATACGGCTAAAACTGTAATATTTCAAATATATGTCAATATATTTGGGAAGAATATTTTTAAAATATATTGAAAATATATTTTTCTTCCATGTATTTCAAATGTATTTTTCTTCCATGTGGGGGGACTCAAATTGTTTGGGGAGAGATGTTATGCGCTTGGTTAACTTTATTTTTTAGAAAAAAAAAAACCCATTTTTTTTTAAACTTTTTTTTCATCACATAGGGACACAAAGTCCCCTATGTGATGATTTTTTTGGTGACAGGTTCTCTTTATTGAATCATGCAGGGTTTAAGAGACCCCCAATGTCTCCTCTGTGATCCATTAGATGTACTGCAATGCAAACCGCATTGCAATAAATCTTTCCCCGGCTATTCAAGCCGGGAAAGTGACAGCACCTGCCATGGCTCTCCCATGGCCCACATATGGACAAGCGGGGCCCGAATACACGGCAGGAGCGAGGGGTGTCACTGGAACTGAGGGCTGTTGAAGCAATCGACAGCTGTGGAGCCTCCTGACTGCTTCCGCGTGACAGGCAGGAGTCTGACTATCATTTATATACACAATCCTGGTGGCTGCAGTGTGTTGTGTATAAAACCCCCCACTGTCAGGTCCGTACGGTGTACGGTGTACGGACTTGGCAGCGCAAGGGTTAAAGCTCCCTTTTTTCTTCTCCTGACTCCATACCAGGGGCGGGACTGACCATTTGGGAACTCGGGTACTGCCCGAGGGCCCGGGGTCAGTAGGGGGCCCCATAAGATGCCCCTGGTACCTTTCATATGCTTTTTTGGGTGTGGTTTGAGTGTGGGTGAGGACACAGGGGCCCCATGATCCCCTATTGCCCGGGGGCCCCATGAATTGTCAGTCCGCCCCTGCTCCATACAGATGTACTGATGCTGTACTTGCAAGTATGGATGTGAAGGTTCTCATTGATCCCGATCATGGTATATCTGGTAGTAGTCAGTCACATTCATATCAACCACAACAGTGGTTCATATAGTGAACTCGGTGTAGTTATTCCCCCTGAGGTCATCACAGAGGACAAGGGGGCGCTCTTTACGTCTGGAGGAAAAGAGATTTAATCTCCAAACACAGAAAGGTTTCTTCACAGTAAGAGCTGTGAGAATGTGGAATAGACTCCCTCAAGAGTTGGTTCTGGCCAGCTTGGTAGATTGCTTCAAAAAAGTCCTGGATTCTTCCTTAGATACACAGAATATAACTGGATATAACATTTATAGGTAAAGTTGATCCAGGGAATATCTGATTGCCTCTCAGGGGATCAGGAAGGAATTTCTTTCCCTGCAGGAGCAAATTGGATCGTGCTTTGCTGGGTTCTTTGCCTTCCTCTGGATCATCTGTGGGTACATAATTATAACTTTTTCTATGGTTGAACTGGATGGACTTTTGTCTTTTTTGATTTCCTCTGGATCAACTGTGGGTGCAGGATTATAACTTTTTTTTTTTTAATGGTTGAACTGGATGGACTTTTTCAGCCAGACTAACTATGTAACATTCACCTGGACTTGTTCCGTAATGTTGAAGACTTTTTGAGGCTTACCAAGCCACTTCTTCAGTTCCTCCGGGAATGTTGGGAAGATACCCTGGCCTTTATAGTCACACCTTAGGACACCTTAATCCAGTCACTATAGAACATATAATTAGACATTCCATGCTGATTGGATTAAGGTGTCCTAAGGCATGACTTACATGGTGGGATATGTTCCTGACACTCTAGGAACTGAAGAAATGACATGGAGAAGCTATGAAACATCTTCAACATTACTGAACAAGTCCATTTGAATATGGCCAACTACTACTAGACTTACCTTGGAAGAACTACTTTTCTAAGACGGGCCCTGTTTTTAGTGATTGAATAGCAACAGTCAGTTGAAAGCAGAACTATGCTGTATCTGAGCGCCACAAACCAAAAAACATTTTTAACCACTTCCCGACCGGCCATTGCATATAAACGGCCGGACGGTGGCACTGCAGGGTCGGGTGGCCATTTATAAACGGCCTCCCCGCACCCTGCTTGTGACCTGGTGATCACCATGATCCGGTGCCCGCTGTGTCCTCCGGACACAGTGAAACACTGATCGTCGGACGGGACCTCTGTGAGAGCTCCCGATCATGTGATCACTGATTGGCCAATCAGTGATTACATGCAAAGTAGTAAGCAAGATGTCACTTGTGACATCATTGCTTACTAGGTGTGAAATCTGTGAATGATCACAGAGGTCACATGGTACAGGGCTCTTCACAACAGCCTTGTACCATGTGACAAGCTGTGACCAATCACAGCTCACTCAGTACTTCTCAATGAGTGCAAGAATGCAGACAGAGAGAAAGAGAAATGATTGCTTTTACATCCTATATGGGTGTAAAAGCAATCAGCGTAAAAAAAAAAAAAAAAAAAAAAAATCTTCATCACCCCCCACAAGTAGTACAGTGTCACCATGGTGACACTGTACTGCTAGGGTGACAGTA